TTATGGGTCTTAGAAAATAAATAGTACTGAAGATCAGTTTTTAAGTCAAATTATGCGTCTTAAAAAATAAATAGTACTGAAGATCAATTTTTAAGTCACGTTATGGGTCTTAGAAAATAAATAGTACTGAAGATCAGTTTTCAAGTCACATTATGGTCCTAGAAAATAAATAGTACTGAAGATCAGTTTTTAAGTCACGTTATGGGTCTTACAAAATAAACAATACTGAAGATCAGTTTAACAACAATCATTACAGAGGGAAACACTTGCCATTAAAGTTCGTGATGTAAAAACTTGGAATTTTAAGTGGTGACGTGTGTCGTATGATAACAGTCAGTCGCAAGATACTCTGGGAAATTTTCTTTGTAAATAAAAATCTCAAGACAAGCTCGTTATGTCAGACATACTTACAGTTATTCCATGCGCTTATTACCTTCGATTTCTAGTGATGATTTAGCTATTAGAAATTAGTTTGAGTTTCATCTTAAATATTTGCTGGCTAATTTGTGTTTTAAGTCTTTAATTTGTGTAGTGTATAATTTGTTTCCAAAACAGACCTAACTAAACTTAACACTTACTTGAATTATGAATGTTTAATAAGCTTGTTGAGTTCCTTTTCACACGTATGTTAATAACATTCATTTTAAATTCATCTCTTTTTTTTTTCAGCGATTTATATTTGATAGTCTACTTGAAATTTTAATTATTTTATTATTTCATTTCATCAAAGCATGGTTTCATGGCCATTTTTAACTGAGTATAGTGATTTCCTGTACAGCTGTTAAATACTCTTTACTGTGTTTTATTTTGCAGACAAAAGCACATCTAGATGTTCTGGCGGATGCGTTATTACGATGGGCTAGAGGGCGCTACTAATCGGTGCACAAGAAACGTTCCCTATCGGCGTCCAAGGGTGCAAGTATTGCCATTGAGACTACTCCATAGCTTCTACGTTGTTATACCTTTTTGTGACTGAGTTTACTCTTTATGTCCGAAATTATCTTGTTATCCTCCGTTGACCCAGCTCCTACATACTGTCGTCGCTGACGTCATCAAGAGGGCTTCTACTAACGGACCTGAAAGAGACTTTGCCGCTGCAGACAAACCTTGTTAAGTCTACCTGGTTTCTAAGTTATAGGCGTTGGCTGGGCTCACGTTACTTCTCATTTGCCACTATTTTTTTATCTTGCAGCTTAAGAAATTAGTACAAGACAAGAAAAGGCAGTCTTTAACATACGAGCGATTGGTGAAATACAGATATTTAAAACATCTTGAAGTTCGACAATCGGGACTTTTAATCGCTTTCAATGGAAATATTTTTGTACTTGTTTTTGACATTTTTCTTCAAGAACTTCTCCACATAGTAATCTAGTCTTTATAATTTAAACAGAATATTGTTTTGAGACACGTGACAAAATACTTCTTTAGTTGTATCTTCTTCTTCTTTATCGAGGTAGAAGTAAATCCAAATATAGATATTGTCAAATTTTCACGGTTATTACTTCGAGTTAGCCCTAAATTGAAGTGAAGAGTAAGTTTTGAAATATAATCAGAAACAAAAGATAGTTTAAATTGTCTGACGTACAAACAACTGTATATGTTCACGTGTCTATTATACTTTTTGGCTCTAATCTGTAAAGTCGTGGAAACAGTATGGTAATTTTATCTTTATAGTACCTGATTTATGTATTTATAGTAAAATCTGGTCTATGCTAAAACTAAAGGCAATCTTTTTGTCACAGAAGATGTAGGATTACTTCCAAATAGCTACTATCTGTTGTTGGTGTAGTAATGAAACTTGTTAAGAGTGCTCTGTGCAGACCGCTGAATTCAACGAGAACCACATTCCATTGTAAACTATCTACACAACACAGAATTTGAGGAGAATGATGCTTATAATAAGTTATGGTTTTACAGCATATAAAGGACCATTTGCCAAAGTTAAAACAAACACATTCCATTATTGGTTCACTTAGAACCCACTCATACTTCCTAATTTAGCAGAATAATGCATGTAAAGAACTTGCTTTGAATAGTACCTCAAATCGTTCCGTGTCTCCAATAGTCAAACTCTGAGGTCAGGAGTCACATTTTTATAAAACTTCTGTAGTCGCTCTGAAAGACTTTTTATTAATTTATAATTTTAACAAGCATGTTTAGAACAAGAAGTGATTCATTGTCTACAAAAACATTGTTGACAGTCGTGTTAAAAGTATGAGTTGGTTCTAATCGGTGAGTGAATAAATTATGCTAATCAGTGAGTAAATAAATTATGCTAATCGGTGAGGGAATAAATTATGCGAGTATTATTTATGAGCCGAACAAAAAATATGCGTTTGTGACCAGGAACCTTAAGATAATAATGCAGCTTCTAAATACCTAAAAGTCATATTGCTGCAAGTAACTACCGGACGGATAAAAAAAAAAAAAAAAAGGTAGAAATGAATTTCAAAGCTTAACCACAGAACGAAAAAAACAAAAACGAAAAGGCTAATTAAAACTTTCTTTTCGTGTATCATTATATGGTTGAAAATCTCATTGTGTTAACGATACTTTTTATCATTTTTGTCAAATAATTTCTACTCTTGTTATGATGAATGAATATTGCTTGTGTCCCTTTGATTGGGTGTTAATAGTTTCTGCTATGGATAAGGATAGCGACTTGCATGAGCTGGCGTTCACCTAGAAATGACCCATGTGTTCATCTTCCCACAGAATGAATAATAACTACAATTATTATGATTATGTGAGACAAAACTATTTTATTCAAATGTGTATGTCAAAATGTGCTGTGACAAATGAGAACCAGCCTTCACGCCGTGCAGCTGATATCTTGACGTGTTCCGTGTTCGATGTTAAAATATTTAAGAGTTTTAAAAATGTAAACAATAATTGCCAGTTGATGTTAGCCCCCGCTAGATAAATATATATATACAGTGGGTAGGATCCGATATTAAACTAGATGTCAAGTTGTACGTTCCCTTAGGAACTGAATTCAATTCCATTGCATGGATGGCATCCTTAAGTCAGGACGTTTTTACAATCCGTTTTTATTTGTCTTCTCACTCTTCTTTAGTGAGTTCTACTTTTTGTTGAAATTTCAGTAGTTTCTATATTTGGTAACAATATTTATTAATTCCCGATATTTATGAACAGCGTTCGGATAATTTTAACTACCCCCCCCCCTCCACTAGTTACTTTTGATCTCAATTTCAACGAACTCGTTTCCAGCAACTTACATCATTCGGTTTCGGTAAAAGTATTGTGTTTTATTTTACTTTCCTGAACTGACTCCCGAAGACCTGAAAGTACGTACAATCAGGTTTGAGATTTATTCATAAACGCAGTGTGACTTTGCCGCTAGCTATCCTATTAGTGAATGTATTACACGTGTTTCACATTGCAGTCAGTGGGCTTGTTGCTTGAAGGTAAATACTTGAACCTGTGGTCAAACAGTACAAAATTAAATTACATTAGCGACACGAGACTAAAAAAAATAAGTTTTTTATTATTATCTCCACAGAGTGCGAAAGACAGTATATTTAACATGACGAAAGACATTCTTCCCTTGTAGCCATGATTATTTATAATCAAAATGCTATGTATTTCGTCTATTCTTGATAAGCTTTGGTATCACCAGGAATTCTCCTACTTCTGTCTTCTGTTTGTAAAGGACATGGTTTCCTCTTCGAAACTTCTTCTGTCCACCTACAAAAATAATTCATGATATTACAAACTTTGGGAAAACTTTTAACAAAATGTTTTATGGTCGTTTTTATCATGCAGTTAAACTATTTGTCTGAATAACTTCTTAAAGGTAATTAGGATTCCATGTTTTAGAAAAACAAAAGTTAATTTTTATGCCAATTTCATCAGTAATTCTTGGAAATATGTACATGTAAAAAAAGGCTTAAATAACCAAAATTTTTAAGGTCTAAATAGAAACTGCAAACATCAGTCTGCTAGTTTTGTTTTACACTGAAGTTACCATATTTACCGATACGAGTATGTGGAAGTAAACCCAAATAAAATATTCAGGAGCTTTCTCTCTCTCTCTCTCTTTATTTTTTCTTTCTTTACAATTCAGAGCTTCGTGGTTTCATGTTTATTTATATGGGGGATTTGTGGCGTGGCATTATTGAAAGTTGACTGAATGAGACGCGTGGTTAAGTAGCATCAGTTCTGTGTTGTAAATAATGTTATACGGAACGTTTTATTTGGAAGATCCATTGACGAACCTACCAAACCATTCTGAACAATAATGTCAGAAAGGCGCCTCTCTGTATTTTGATAATGATATTTGTTAAATAATCCTTTAGCATGTTCTCTTTCTCCGTGGTCACAAGAAGTTAGATGAAAATATAACTAGTTTTAAGCAACTACTGTATTGCATAAATGCCAACTTGGGAGAAACATCTCGGTCAGACAAGTAGTTGCTTCAGCAATGTTGTGAGATTAAAAATGGTAAATCATGAAACATTATAGATTTGGTTGTTTAAAGTATTATTAGCAGAAACTGAACAGAACGTTTTGATGTTTAAAAAGAAAGTACAAACAACTGTAGTATTGAACATTGGTTTGCAAGAAAAGTATATTTGGGGCTCCAAAGGTTGAACGTGACTTTAGAATGCAATTTTGAAATGTACCAACTCTAGACTAAAAAGGAGTTGTGAAGTTGAATGTTTTCGGTAAAGGTTAAGACAAGTTTTTCGTTGGTATCCTCTAATATTCAAAGGCATTTCTCGTTGGCTTGGGAAGATCTCTTGTTCTTTTAGTTTTTATGTTTTGGGAAAAAAAATCTTAAACTTATTAACCAAATATTTAGTTTTGGGGGCTCTAATCAAGCTTACTTCTACTTCTTCACTCTTCAGATGTATCTCACGAACGTTTTTGGCCAGTAGCTAAAGCCCTTGAGACCCATAAACTGGTGACAGGTTTATTCTCCCAACTTTCTAAACACGCATGTTAAAGAAAAATGCCGATTTCAAGGCATTATTTGAACGAACATTCCCTTCTTCGACTACCTGCTAACTGCAACTGTGTATCCCGTCTTTGTAAATGATTTACTTGATAAATTTTCGAGCCTACCATACAAGATTGCATTTAATATTTTATTAATATTAACCTACTTGAGACATTCTTGGTCACTTGTTATTTATTGTAAACTTTTGTAAAGGTTTAAATCTTATTATTTCATTGTTTTACAAAGAATGCGTGTGAAATTATTCTGTGTAAAAACCTCGCTATGACGTGTAATTGTATATTTTGCTGATGCGACAAAAACTTAAGAAACTGTACATTGAATCGGAGATAAGTTATATATGTATATAATTTGAATTTGATTTTCTTATACTACCAGACTGTAGGAATGCCATCCTTTTGTCTTACTCTCTGTCGGGTGCCGAGCTAATAGATGTAAAATAAGATCAAACTGTATTTTCAATTGATGAGGAATTAAATATATATTTTCTCTGGCCAAGCAAGACAAAATGTGTCGTTGAATTGTTTTATTTTTCAATCATCACGGACGGCAAATAACATATTAAAACCCTTAATATTTGAAGTTAACCTAGTTTCTTTTAAAGAAGTAGAAAGAGCGGAACAACAAAATATATACTATCAAATTTCCTTTATCATTTAATTAACGAAAAAAAAAACGTTTTCTACGAATTATTCCTGTTGATAATCATCTTACTACAGGATATTAGTTCTCTTAAGTAAACGAACGTATTCACGCATAATTAAACCATCTATTCACCACAGACAAGATAAAAATTATTGAAACTAAATCAAATTAATCTCTGCTAATATATTCTTATTTCATGAAAGTTTAGTTTTCGAAATCTGTTTGGGAAAAAATATAAAATTAAAATAGAAAAGGTGTGAATTTTACAAAGAGCTCATAAATGTTCACTATTTCTTTCTACATATATATATCAATCAGGTCGTTCGCGAACTAACTATTGTAGGTTCTAGAATATTAAAGTAATTGGTAGTTCTAAGTTGATCCAATCTCTTTTAGGAGGCCCGGCATGGCCAGGTGGTTAGGACGCTCGACTCGCAGTCTGCGGGTCGCGGGTTCGAATCCCAGTCCCACCAAACATGCTTGCCCTTTCAGCCGTGGGGGCGTTATAATGTGACGGTCAATCCCACTATTCGTTGGTAAAAGAGTAGCCCAAGAGTTGGCGGTGGGTGGTGATGACTAGCTGCCTTCCCTCTAGTCTTACACTGCTAAATTAGGGACGGCTAGCGCAGATAGCCCTCGTGTAGCTTTGCGCGAAATTCAAAACAAACAAACAAACAAACCTTT